TATTTGTGCTGAGACCGTGCAACCATATGCTCGTCGCAACCAAAAATTTAAAATTTGTTATTTCGAGCTCATTTTTTTTTCTCAAAAAAGCTTTTTCCCCCAGGTACCTACGTAATTTAATCAGTGAATAGAATGTATCTAGGAAGATGACCAATTCGGAAGTCCGATGTTTCAAACGTCTACTTTCTTACATTTCCACCTAATATTGTTCCACAGACAATTATATTTTCTTTCAACGGATTTCGCATTATTTTCTTCGCATTATTAGTAAATGCAATTTCACAACGCTCAGAATGATACAGGTGCAAAAAATGTGTTTTTCATCTGTTCAATATGCGCATGTCACCCTTTCCAAACCAGTACATGTTTCTCCACAAACATTTCTTTTATACTGTATCTTTTTGGAGATATCGGTCGTTTTCATTAAAATAGGACAGTCCGAGACAGTGCAAGCATGTTAATGTGTAATAAAGGACTTGTTTGTTACGAAAGCTTCATTCCATCGTACTAAATTTCAACTGTGAGTTAAGTACACATTGCGCGATTGATCACACACACTAAATTGACGAGTGACATTTAGAGTTCATAGCATGTTAATTTATAAATATTTTCTAACACAAAAAGCACAAAGAAACATAATGTCCATCTCGATCTGGTTTTTGTCCAAATTCCCTGATACATTGAACAAATGCTGAGATGGCCCCTTGTTTTGCTTCTGGACATAAATGTAGCTTCACTATGCGCACGTTTTGTTGAACTCTCGTTTTGCTTGTAATGGTAGGAGTAGAGGTAAGGGCGAGTTACTATTTTGTTAGCAATGCAGAATAATCATATTTTTAATTCATTTACCGACGCAAATACGTTTTCTACAACTTGGAAACGAAAATGTCTTTTTTTTTCAAATATTGCTAATCCGCCACTTTTTTAAATTTATTTTTATTTCAGTTAAACTTTTACTCATCTTTCAACTATTTATGGTTGCAATGACTGGAAGGGATTCTGGAACTCAAGAAAACGTGCGCAGTTAATCTTCTCCCCCATACATCCCCTACACTTTGTACTGTTTTTTGAAAAATAATTCCAAATTAAATGTACCAAGTTTGGCCGTTAATACAACTATTCTGTGTGAAGACAAAAATGCGTATGCGAGAATGAGTTATTACATGAGCAAGCGAATAAGTGTCAGAGCCCTGGCTGACTGCCGGCGCTTCCGGGAATCGGAGGGGACTAGTCGCTTGCAAAGCCGTAATAATATGAAAAAATACCAGAAAACGAATGAATTATAATTGAAACAATTACCCTTTTAAAATTGCACCAATGTCGTTTTCGAAGTATACTCCGATCCAATTCAAATACAGTAATCCCTCATTAACGAGAATTACAAGGATCCGAATTAATCAGAGGTCGTATTATAAAAATTCGTGATATCTGATTATTATAACCGACCGTATTACAGTAATCCCCTGCCGGGACGGAAGTTTTGGTCGTGGTATGGTGAAGTTAGTGTAAACACGATTTCGTGCTAACGAGGGTTTACTGTAGTTAATTTCTAGTTAATTTCGATGGTAAGTCATTTTTTAATGAAAGTGAAGAGAATTGTTTTTCCCTTCCCTTTCGAGAACCTTTTCTGGCTTGTCAGCAAAATGGGAATGTGGAAAAGCCTTTCCAGATGAAACAGGCGGACACTCAACATTATGAGTTAATAAATAAAATACTGTTAGACATGAACTATTCTCACTTTACGTATGACCATCATTAGCTAATTTCTCGCAGTGGATCGTGTGGGTCATTTCAATTGGGACGTCCAAACATTTCGAGATATAGGCATCGCACGAAGCATTGTTTGAAATAATACGTCAATATTTTCAAGGGAAAAACACAGATGTAATAATTCGGTAACGAAGCTTGGCGCACAATTTATTTTGGCCTTTTGGATCAAGGTATGACTCCATTGCCCAATTTTTCATTATCACACCTTTCACATTACGAAAATATGAATCAGACGATCTATTGAGACATGAAAATGTTTCTAAAAATGGTACCGTTCAACACAAATTTGTGAAATGAAATCTAAGAGGATTTCATTTTTAATTTTTTACATCTGCATTTATAACGAATCTAATCAAGTATTTCAGACAAAAATATCCTATTATAAACGCGGAATTCGAATCTTCAATACGAAACATAGTATTTCATTTAAAAGGTGACGAACGTGTGAGGCTTAATCAAACACAGGGTTATATTTTTACGGTGTACAGCTCTGAGATATTACACTATATATTATTCTTACTACACTGTATATATTTATAAACGTAGAACCTCCATTTTCCAGAGTAATAACAGGGAATGGAGTTCACAGAACATCAACATAAGTTTTATTGGTTAAAATGTATTAATTAATGTTAGAGTTCTAATATTTTTTTCTTCATTTCATTAATTTAATATTTTTTTATAATGAAGAAGACTTCATGTAAGTGTACTGAATACCGGAGAAGGGAGATTCCAATATACACAAGGTTAGCGTCCACCTCGAATATTCGTTAAATGATTCAAGATATTGAGCCAGAGCTTTCACCAAACACTGCAGAACATAGGCGCTTATTAGCTTTTGATATGATTTTAATTTTAAAGAGACTAACTTCGTTTTTTTAAGTAGAACAGTATAAATATTTTACGCGAATATGTCGGTCTTGAGAAGACAACTTCAGTAATACTACATGTGTTGGTATTTAATGAATAATTAATAGCAGAAATTGATGAATAATTAATACTGTGGACACTGTCGTTATACAAAATCGAGGTTCTCGGAAGTTCGTCGGGCGGAGTCGGGAAACTAAGCGATTTCCAAGTCGCAAGGCGCAGGACACTGCACCTTGCGACCTCCGCATCGCTCGAATTTCTTTTCGCAAGACATTTCTCGGCGGAGTCACTTGTATGCTACAATCATTTTATGTAATGAATTCCTTTTCGTCAAAAACAATCAAAGTGGCAGGGAAATCAGCGGTATGTTCTAGTTAGTGGTATAGGAAGATTAAAACATCCTCCATTTTAAATTGAATATTGAATTGTATTTTGAATGTTGTGTGGTAGCGTAAGATGTACGAAATAAACTTCACAATAAACATTATTTCGCTGATTGTTGAAATCATTACGCGACAAACGAGCCTGTTGAGCGACCGAGACCCTGTTGCCTCTGCTTTGAACGGCTCCGTTAAATCTCCGAAACCAGCAAAATTTAGAAATACGAGTACTTTTCTCTGTCTCACTAAGAAAATCGCGCTATTCCCAGACAACGCTGTACTCATCTAAACTGCAACTTTGTCCATAATATAGATTGACACTAAATGTTATTTTATGTAACTATTCAATTTTGTGAAGCATGTTCTCGCAATTTTGTCTTAAACCATTAATAAAAGGAAGTAACTTTTACCAAAATTAGATTATTAATAACAGCAAAAATGGGACGCTAATTTCTAAAAGTGTCGACGTCAACTGTCTGCAGAAACGACGCGCGTCAGGGCCCCAATCTCTGCTCTCTACGTCATTCACACTGGACATGCGACAAACTCATCATTCGCGATTTATAGACTGCCTCATTTCTTCTGGCGTACCGCGGTGTCGATTGTCGTTTTAGAGGTCACAACGTGCGCGAGACATCTTAACCCGCGGAGCTTTGAAACGGTGAACGACAGGTGCACGGCGAACCACCGAACCTGCTGTAACGTCGGATTTCAAAAGTCGTTAGTGTTTGTGATTATTGATCAAGTACCAGCATATAAAGTAGTGCTAAATTTATCGTTTCAACATCTACCTGTTCGTGTAAAGAAGGTAACATGTTGTATTTAAAAAAAGAAGTTAGTCCAATATATTTTTTTACAAAATCCTAAAAAGCTAATAGCTTCAAATGAAGAACCCCTGTCCTGAATGACTTGATGAAAACTCCAACTGAAAATGTTGAAGCACTTAGAAAATAATTTTATATGGACAAACGCTGTATATACTCATACATACAAACATACAGTGGAACAGCTACAGCTACGTGGATGAGCGTGCAACGACTCTATTAGGGGAAGATGATATGCACCTGTACCTGTCAGGACCGGGGCCGTGCTGGAGGCG